CCCCATGGCAAAAACCCAAAAAAAAAAAAAAAGAATAAACTTAAAAAATATGAATCTGTGTGGCTCGTGGAGGCCCTAAATGTGTCATGAAAGTCTGGATTAACCCTTGCACATTGAGAGCATTGAAAGATCCTGTTCTTCACATGTACCCACTCTGCTTCCTCTACCTGGTTAAGTGCCAACAGAGAGTGTCCCCTGCCAGGGACGAGTCTCGGACTCCTTGCCCCTCCGAGTGACCCCGGCTTTCCCTCATGTCTGTCTAGGCCCCCGTCCTTCGCATGGTAGAAGGGGATACGGTCTATGACTACTGCTGGTACTCCCTGATGTCTTCGGCACAGCCAGAAACCTCCTAGTAAGTGTTGGCCTTTGCCTGCTCTAACCCCCACAGTTTCTAGGGGCCCCTCTGCCGAGAATCAGGGCAGCCAGGGGCCTGGGAGGGGGAAGGTTTGATGTACCTTCAGTTGGGAGCTGAGAGGGCTGGTCGGCTGGCTTCCTCCCCTTCCTTTGGCAGAAACAGGACCTCAGTGTCTGTGTCTCCTCAGCGTGGCCAGCAGCAGCCGAGAAAACCCCATTCACATCTGGGACGCCTTTACTGGCGAGCTCCGGGCTTCCTTTCGTGCCTACAACCACCTGGTACGGACCTCCGTGCCCAGCCCCAGCACCCACCCTGCTCCAGCTCTCCTTCCTTGAGGTCAGCTGGGGCTTCGCAAGGCCTGTTGTCAGCCCTTTCCTGCCCTCAGGATGAACTGACGGCAGCCCATTCACTCTGCTTCTCCCCGGATGGCTCCCAGCTCTTCTGTGGCTTCAATCGGACTGTGCGTGTCTTTTCCACGTCCCGGCCTGGGCGGGACTGTGAGGTCCGAGCCACATTTGGTAAGCATGTGCCTCCCAGGGCAGAGGGAAGGGAAGGCCCTGCCACATGCATAGGGACCTGTGTAGGCCGGGGGCCACCTGTGGGGTTTCGCGTCATCCTCCAGCCCTGGGAGGCAGGGTGTGCCCACCTAACAGACTCTGCAGGGAGTAGACTCTCCCAAGGTTAACTAGCTGGTGCTGAACCCGCGCCCTGCTAGCTATGTACTGTTTTGTTTCCAAAATCTTCATGTCTCTAGAAAATAGGAGATGAAGCTGATTCCATTTTCATATTGGCCTTCAGCTCACCATCCTTTGAAAGAAAACCCAGGATTTGAAAGGGAAGAAGTGGAGTTGGGCGTTTGGGTCCTTGGGGGAGCTAGAAGGATCTGGAGATTGTCAGAGTTTTCATCCTGCTGTGCAGACAGGATGGAGGAGACGTTAGTCCCCATGTTGGTGCGGCACAGGAGACAGGGGTGGACCTCTGCAAAGCCTGGCTAAGCCAGGAACCATTGCCTTCTCCCTCATTTTGTTTCTTTCCTCTGTAGCAAAAAAGCAGGGGCAGAGTGGCATCATCTCCTGCATAGCCTTCAGCCCAGCCCAGCCCCTCTATGCCTGTGGCTCCTACAGCCGCTCCCTGGGTCTGTACGCCTGGGATGATGGCTCCCCACTTGCCTTGCTGGGGGGGCACCAAGGGGGCATCACCCACCTCCGCTTTCACCCCGATGGCAACCGCTTCTTCTCAGGAGCCCGCAAGGTATGTCACCTGCCATGCGTTGAGAGTTGGGGAGGGGAATAACTCACGTTGAAAGAGTGCCTAGAAACCTTGAGGGAGGCAGGGGTGTTCTGGGAGGGCGACTCCAGGCCCCAGTTCTATGTCTGCAGGATGCTGAGCTGCTGTGCTGGGATCTCCGGCAGCCAGGTCACCCACTGTGGTCCCTGAGTCGAGAGGTGACCACCAATCAGCGCATCTACTTTGATCTGGACCCGTGAGTTGGTGGTGACTGCCTAGGGCTCTCATGCTCCTTGGGGTGCCAGAGCCCAGCTGGAGGGTCCCAGCCCTGGGTGTGAGGGGCTCCGGCCCTCCAGAGTGATGCCTTTATGCCAGCAGGTCTCTCTTCTCTCTCCCAGGACTGGGCAGTTCCTCGTGAGTGGGAGCACTAGTGGGGTGGTCCGTGTGTGGGACACCAGCAGGACCGGGGATGAGGGGAAGCCGGAGCTGGTGCTGAATTTTCTGCCCCAGAAGGACTGCACCAATGGAATGAGGTCCTCAGCTCCAGTCCACAGATCTCTGGGCTTGGGTTGGAAGGGCGCTCCCTAGGGAGTGAGCTCGCTCGCTCAGGGTGTTGAGTCTCTGCCTGTCTCTCCCTCCAGCCTGCACCCTAGTCTGCCTCTGCTGGCCACTGCCTCTGGTCAGCGGATGTTTCCGGAGCCCACAGAAAGCGGGGATGAAGGAGAGCAAGAGCAGGACCTTCCCCTGCTCTCCATGCGGCACGTCCACCCTGAATGTCGGCTCCAGCTCTGGTGGTGTGGGGGTAGCCCAGACCCCAGCATCTCTGGTGATCACCAGGGCCAGAATGGACAAGGAGGGACAGAGGGAGGTGGGGGCGAGCTTATATAAAAAGGGTTTTTTTATACCATACTAGAGTCTTCGTGTCTGTTCAGGGAGCCAAAGGACGGGGGTGGTTGGGGAGGGGTCCAGCGGGCTCTCTTGTCCAGCAGCAGCGGGACTGGCATATTGTTCCTGAAACCAGAGGTTGAGGGGTGGAGCTAGGCGGGAGCCAATGGGGTGGCTGCGCTTGCTGTGAAGTCAAGTGGGCGGGGGTGGGGCTTCATGCCATTGACTGGTCGGTTGCTAGGCAACCTGGTAAACTGAAGGGGGGAACCTGTTTGAAATCTCACTCCCTAGGTGGGGGCAGCAGGGGTCAGGGTGAGCGGGCTGAGCAGGAGTGGCAGGAGCGGTGTGTCAGACTGTTGGGTGTGACTGTGTGAGACTGTGCAGACAGTGACAGACAAGACACCCGCTCGCTCACGCTCAGTCTTATTTACCATCATCCAGCAGCAGAGGGACCATTACTCAGCTCTGGAGGAAGGGGAGCAGGAGCACTCGGCGCCCCCCGCCCCTGGACGCCTCCAGGAGGCAGGCAACCTAGGGACCAGAACCCAAAAGAGTGGAGGTGCTGAACTGCGCAGAGGTCACATCAGTACTCCCAGTAGGCGCCAGGCGGGGGCGAGGGTCTTACTCATTGGGCCGCTGTAGCCGGTCTTGTTTCTCCACGTCTGTGCTGCCTTTGGGGGGTGGGAGGTGAGTGTGTCACTTGAAGCAGTGACTCCTTCCCCCTTCCCCCACTCACCTTGCCAAACACTGAGAGGGGGCTTTGAAGACACTGTCAGTAGGGCATGTGATTTTGAACCTCGCGATCAAAGGGAAGGGACGAAGCCTGCGGAGGGTTGAGAGGGAAGGAGAGGAATGTCACCCCATCCAGAGGTGCTGAAAGCCAGGGTTCTTACACCCGAAAAGGCAGCTCCTCCCTTCCCCCAGGATAATTGGAAACAGCCCTTCCTGCAGCGTGCGGGTGTGGGGTTGTAGGTACTCCCCTTCCTCTTCCAGCCCCACTTCCCACACCCATCTGAGGAGGGCCCAAGTTTACCCCGACCCTCTTGCCTTTCACCTAGACCCCAGGGAGCCGGAAAGGGCCGAGGAAGCTGTGGCGAGAGCCCCGGGAGTGGGAGCTCAGCAGCCTGGGCGTGCTGCTCTGCGCTGTCCCAGACTCCGTGTGTGACCTTGGGCAAGTCCCGGGACCTCCTGAGCCTCGGTTTCCTCGTCCCTACAGTGAGATCGTTAGCTCTGCCCTCCCACAGGTAGTCCTGACGGCCAACTCAGCCGCACTTTGTAAAGCGCCAAACCTACAAGGTTATTATTATTCTCTCCAGACCTCCCCGGAGCAGCAGTGTTGTTTTGGGATGGAGGAGGCGGCTGCGGGAGCGCACGGGGTGGGTTCCTCCGGGTGGAGAGGGCGAGATTTCAGGATTTGAGAGAGGAAGATTCCAACCGCTCGGGCGATCCGAGGGCAGGAGGGGAGACGGGCAGAAACTCAGCCAGAGACGGAGACTCGCAGAGACAAAGGGGGCGTGAGAGACCGCGCCAGGGAGTGAGGCGGGGCAGCGGGCGAGGCGGCCGCGGCGGGCGGGAGGTGCGCGAGGTGAGGGAGGTGTGGGGTCCGTGGGCCGCGGGATGCCGCCGCCCGCTCCGACTCGAGCTCCAGCTCCAGTTTTTCCCTCCACCATCCTCTCCCCCTCCCCGCCTCTCCTTTAACTCCCCCCTCCTGGGCTCGGGACTGGTTTCCTCCCTTAGCCCGCTGCCCTCAATCCCAGCGAGGCTGGGGCTCCGGCTCGGCGCCCCCTTCCTCGCTCCCCATGCCTCCCCCACCCGGCCCCCGGCTCCCCCAGTCCCCGACCTAGGCCGGCTCACACATCCCGGGGTGCTGGCGCGTGGGCCGGGGGGCGTAGGGCGCCTGCAGCCGGCCCCTGGCAGGGCTCTGTGGGGCTGAGCGCTCCGGAGCCGGGGCGCTGGGAGAGCAGGAAGCGGTCCGCGTGGGAGCTGGGAGAGCATCAGCCCCAGGAGTGGACCGGGCTGAATAGCCAGGCAGCCGAGGCAGACACCCCAGGGGGCGAGCGACTTTGGGGGAGTTGGTGCCCCGCCCCCCAGGCCTTGGCGGGGTCATGGGGGCCCCCCATGCTGGGCCGGGGGGCGTGCGAATCGGGGCCCTGCTGCTGCTTGTTTTTTTGGGGCTGGTGTCTGGGCTCAGCCTGGAGCCTGTCTACTGGAACTCAGCGAATAAGAGGTGAGCGGCCTGGGGCTTGGGAGACCCCAGACCCTTTGGGCAGGGGGTACAGAAGCTTTGGGGATTCCGGGGCTGGATTCTCTGGGCTGGGAGGAGACTGGAGGGAAGGTGTCGGCGCCCTGTTGTGAGCCGGTGGGTTACCAGAGAGGTGATGGAGCCAGACTCCTGGGGCTCACGGATCTGGATGTGGGTGGTTGTCTAGGTGTGTCAGGAGTTTGGAGACCCCAAATGGACCAGGATAAGAAAGTTCGTGGGGAGCAGGGCGGTGGAGTGGTTATTTGGATCTGTGGGAGGCTTGTGCAGGGGGCTGGGCTTGGAGGGAGCCTGGTTAATGTCAGCTCTCAGGAGAGAGCTGCTGAGTAGGTGCTGAGGCGCCCAGGGGAAGGGCAGGGGTGCCTCCCTCCCCACGGGGTCCTTGGCGTTGGAGATGGAAAGGAAGGGGCTCGGCTTGGGGCTCTGGGGACAACTTCCCCAAGCCTCTTTGAGTCTGTCTCCCAACTCTTGTCCACAGTCAGAGGGTCGGCCAGCCCTGGCTGAACAGTTTCCCACCCAGCGCATCTTCCTGCCTTCCTGGCTTGGGGACTTGCTTTCTGGAAGAAGCTTGGAGCCCCCTGAAGGGTCCTTCCCCCTAAGAGCATCTGGAGTCCTGAGGACTCCTTTACCCCCTCCCCACATCCTGGCTGCACATTCTTCCATCAGACACTCTGTTCCTGGCATGCTTGCTTGGCTCTGAAAAGAGACCAAGGGTCAGGCAAAACTTCAGGCCACACAGGGTAGGACAGAACCTTTGGGAGGTCATCAGGGTTCTTTGCCTTCGGGTAGATCCCATTCTGGGTTAGCAAGAGTTCTGTGTCTGCAAAAACTACTTGCTCCAGGGGGCTGGGGCGCCTGTGTGAGGCCATGGGTGGGGATGTGGGGTGGGTTGGAGTTCATCATATTCTTGGTCTTAATCCGGGCTCTGCTGCTTTCAGCTGTGTGGCCTTGGGTATGTCATTTAACCTTTCTGAGTTTGTACCCTCAATCCTTATAGCCGCTTTGAGGATCAGAGGTGAGGTGTTTGAACACACGGTGTGAGTATTAAAGGAGAGCTAGGATCGCTGTTCTTCCTCTGTCTCTACTTCCCAGCCCTCCTCACACTTCCCTGTCCTGGCATCCCTTCCTCTCTGCCACGTCTCTGGGTATATCCTCAATATCTCTTCTGCACTCAGTCTCCCACTTGCCAACTCCTGGCTGCAGTTTGAGTATCAGGTGTGTTGCTTGAGGATGTAAGTTATGCTTATTCTGATAGGATCGAGAAAAGGGAGCAGGGTGTCCTGGGGCCTTCCGGATCTTGGGAGATATTAAGCAGCGGTCCCCTGGGACTTTGTTCTGAGACCCTGTCTCAGCTGTGGTGTGAGGTGGGCAGGGGCTGGGGGGCTGCAGTCCGTGGTAAGCCGTGGCTCTGCTGGCTAGGCCAGTGGGTGCCCAGGCCCACTGGCCCAGGAGATGTGCGATTGTGTTGGGTGGGGTTAGAAGTCACCTCCCTCAATTCCAAAGCAATAGAGCACTTTCTTTAGGAAGTCTGTGACTGAGGGAGAGGGCCCCGAGCACGGAGCGATCTGGGTAGCTGGCCCCCAGACCCCGGTTAGCCCCACTTAGGGCCATTGCCAAGCCAGGGGCTTTTGCATCCCGTCTTATTACTTGGCTAACTCAGGGGATGGGTCTGGAGCACCTTCCACACCCCCTCCCCAGCCCCACCACCTTTGCCTCGAAATCCCTGAGATTTAGTGGTGGTCTGGAGGAGGGGAGGCTCTGCCCCCATGGTTGACTGCCATGGAATAGTGAAATCACCTGGGAGGGGTGGGCTGTGTGGTTCCAGAGAGGCCAGCTCCTTGGTAACTGGCATCCTGTTGCCATGGCAACGGGGCCGGTGATGGAGCGGGAGATGGCAGTGTGCATGTGGTGAGGGCGGGCTGAAGAGTGCATTTGGGCACACCAAGGGGCAGGAGACCTCTGAGCCTGGCTTCCCGCTGCTTCCAACGTGTGCCCCAGTCCTTGGTGCCCGCTCCGCTCTGTAACAACAGACACTCAGACAAAAGCAGGCAGGCCTGAGCTGAGCATCACAGTCCTGGAGGGCTGTGGGGCAAGGGAGGGAATGCACTGGGGGCCAGACCTCCCTGACACCTCCTTGTCCACCTTGCCTTCCTCCCCATAGGTTCCAGGCAGAAGGTGGTTATGTGCTCTACCCTCAGATCGGGGACCGACTAGACCTGCTCTGCCCCCGGGCCAGGCCCCCTGGCCCTCACTCCTCTCCTAATTATGAGTTCTACAAGCTGTACCTGGTAGGGGGTGCCCAGGGCCGGCGCTGTGAGGCACCCCCTGCCCCAAACCTCCTCCTCACTTGTGATCGGCCAGACCTGGATCTCCGCTTCACCATCAAGTTCCAGGAGTACAGCCCTAACCTCTGGGGCCACGAGTTCCGCTCTCACCACGATTACTACATCATTGGTACTGCTGGGCAGAGGGCAGGGGCCCGTGGGGAGCTGCTTCTGGGATCCAGGGCAGATGAGGGAGGGGGCCACTGGAACTGAGGGAGACCACCTACGTGCCTGGGTGGTGCTGGTACCTGGGCACAGGGCTAGCCTGAGGAGTGCCAACTCTTCCCTCTGGCTTTTCTCTCCCAGCTACTTCAGATGGGACCCGGGAAGGCCTGGAGAGCTTACAGGTGCTGGTCCCTGGGCACGGGGCTAGCCTGAGGAGTGCCAACAACTCTTCCCTCTGGCTTTTCTCTCCCAGCTACTTCAGATGGGACCCGGGAAGGCCTGGAGAGCTTACAGGGAGGCGTGTGCCTAACCAGAGGCATGAAGGTGCTTCTCCGAGTGGGACAAAGTGAGTGGGGCTGGGGGGCCGCTTCCTCGGACTGAGGGAGATGGGAGCAGTAGTGGCATCTTGGGGGCAGTGGTCTCAGGCCCTCTCTCTTGGATCTTCCCCATTTCCAGGTCCCCGAGGAGGGGCTGCCCCCCGAAAACCTGTGTCTGAAATGCCTGCAGAGAGAGACCAGGGGGCTGCCCACAGCCTGGAGCCTGGGAAGGAGAACATGCCAGGTAGGACCCAGGGGCCAGCCCCCTGCCTCCCCCAGCCTCTTCTGCTCTCAGACCCCAGCTGCCCTGCCTTCACCCTCTCCCTCCCTCTTCAGATTTGGGGGCGGTGATACAGGAAAGAGGAGAAGAGAGGATGGGAGGGTGGGAGGGGAATGGAAGCCAAATGAGGAAAAGACTCAATTAGAACTAATTAGCCAAGTCAGTGCTTCAATCAGCGCTGTCAGAGAAGTGGGGAGGACTACGTGGCAGGGAGCTGAAGGGCTGGACACCTGGATTCTGAGCCGGGCTGGCGGGGAGGGAGGGGGTCTCCAAGAGGCCTGGGCACTGCTGGGGAAGCCCATGGGACCCTCAGGGCTGGGTGTCCAGATGCCCAGGTGGCTCCTTCAGCCCCTCCCCCTCTTTCCTCCTTCACCCCTTCCCTGCCAGGTGACCCCACCAGCAATGCAACCTCCCGGGGTGCTGAAGGCCCCCTGCCCCCTCCCAGCATGCCCGCAGTGGCCGGGGCAGCGGGGGGGCTGGCGCTGCTCTTGCTGGGCGTGGCAGGGGCTGGGGGTACCATGTGTTGGCGGAGACGGCGGGCCAAGCCTTCGGAGAGTCGCCACCCTGGTCCTGGCTCCTTCGGGAGGGGAGGGTCTCTGGGCCTGGGGGGCGGAGGTGGGATGGGGCCACGGGAGACTGAGCCTGGGGAGCTAGGGATAGCTCTGCGGGGCGGTGGGGCTGCAGATCCCCCTTTCTGTCCCCACTATGAGAAGGTGAGTGGTGACTATGGGCACCCTGTGTACATCGTGCAGGACGGGCCCCCCCAGAGCCCTCCAAACATCTACTATAAGGTGTGAGGGCTCCTCTTACCTGCTCTCCCAAATCCAGCCCTTGGGGTGCTGCTGTGGTTTAATTCATGGTGTGAGGGCACCTCTAGCACCCCCTCGGCCCCCTTCGCTCCTCCTGGCTGTTGCCCTCTTCTCCACTTTTAGGGTTCCCTAAGACTCCATTGTACTCCCTGCCCTCCCGTTTGGCCATGGGCGCCCCTCTGTCTCTGTGTCCTGTTCCCTTGGGGAAGGGGCACAGGCCCAGCCTCCTCTGTAACCATGACCCAGGTAACCGCGTCCCCCTCGCCAACCCGGAGCTAGGGGCAGGAGCAGTCTGTCTTTTGGTTGGTACCTCTCCCTTTCTGCCTCTCACTGTTTTTCTCTTCTCTCTATGTCTTATTCTTTCTCTCTCTTCCGTCTCTAGGTCTGTTCCTCTCCCTAAGATCCTCCTCCCTTTCCCCTCTCGGCTTCTTATCCTGTGCCTCTCTCATCTCCTGGGCGGGGGCCTCACAACACTTCTCCCCTTAGCTCTTGGCCCCCACCCCCCGACCTCTCATACCAACCACTCTTCTTGGTCCGCCCGACCTGGGGGCTTTACGGGGAAGGCACCCCAGCTCAGGGCGTGGGCAGCAGGGCCTCCTTCTCTGCCCTGCCCCAGGCCTCTACATACTTACTCCAGCCATTTGGGGTGGTTGGGTCACGACAGCTGCCATGAGAAGAAGTGTTCCGTTTTGTCCAGTGGCCAAGAGCAAGACATGCACCGGTCAGTCGGGACATGTATGGACATGGTCTGATGCTGGATGGGCTGCTTGGGACAGGAAGTGACTTGCTCCAGACAAGAAGTGACCAGGCCTGGACAGAAATGGCCTGGGAAGTGGCAGAAGCATGCAGCAGGAACTGGAAGTGCCTTCATCCAGGACAGGAAGTAGCACTTCTGAAACAGGAAGTGATCTGGCTGGAACTCCAAGTGGCTTAGTCGGGGGGTTTGGGGAGTGGGAGGTGGTTGGTTCTTACTCTGTGGAGAAGGGGGATAGGAAGGACTTCCTGTTTCAGGAGGACGCTGGAGCTTATTAAGAGGACAGAGGTGGACTGAGGAGGACTTTCCTAGTACTTGGTGGCACTTCCCAGGATCTCCCTTCCCTTGTGCTCCGTGCTGGTTTTAGGACAGCTAAGATGACTGCCATCTGCTGTGGCAGGCCCAGTTTGTCTTGTTCTTTCCTTTTCATATCCCAGTATAATCTGTGCTAATCAACAGGACTACCCCAAAAACCCGTGTGTTCTCCCTCAGTGACTGTCCCAGATGGCTGTCTTGTTCATCTCATCCTCCATCCCTGCTCCCTTCAAACTCAACACAGCTCCCTTCTTAGTGACCAAAATGGTGGCCTACTGACTGGTCTAGCTGACTGTGGTACTTAGCAACAGCTACTGTTTCCATAGTGACCAGCTGATACCTCTTCCTGCCCTCTAGTACACAATTGGGTGTTGCCTCAGTTTCCTCTTAGTTCAGTATTATGAGATCAAAGCTGCCCTTGGGCACCAGGTTGGCCACCTCAGTCACCAGCCAAGAGGGTTGCTTTGTCCACCAGAGGTCACGTCATCTCTCTGGTGTGGTAGTTCCCAGCTCCTTCCTGATTTTTCTAATCGCTCCTTCCAGGGGACAGGAAGTTGATATTGCCATGGGGGAGGTGACAGAGTTTGCTGTCACCTCAGTATTTTGACTGTAAAAGGGAAATTTGAACAACAAAAACCAAAAAAAAAAAAAAAAAAAAGAATAAAAAACTTCAAAAGTTGACCAGAAGGCTGGAGAGTGACTGGCATGAATTGGGACAGAGCACTGGAGGTTAGAGTGGCTCTGAACCAGGGTTGGATTGCATGAAATCTAGGGGCATGGGGAGAGTGTGGGCCGGTTGGAGTGGTGAGGTGGGCAGTGGATGGGATGGGGAGGGGAGAGTGGGCTGGGTGAGAGGGCTACGGAAGGCCACCACTAGGGAGGGAGGAGCATCCAGGCAGGAGTGGGGGTTGCCCGTACCTTCAAATATAGACGTGTGTATATACTTGCATATTCACTCGTGGGGTGAGACTGGGTGTCTATTGCTAAACCAAAGCGTCGGAAACAAGACAAGTGGTAATTAGGAACAAAGTGATAAAAACATGTTCACGTGTCGACGTCTGTTGCCTACCACCCCTACCAAGGCATCTCTGACTCAAGTTTTGCTGCTGGGGACTCAAGTGGGGAGAAGGGATATGGCTGATCAGAAGAAAAGTAGGGAGGACTCCCTGTCCCAGGACTCAGGCTGCTTGTGTCCTGGCTTCCTATATACCCATAACCCAGGCTCTTTTCCCTTAGAAAGCCCAGGTGCCCAGCCCCCTAAACTCAACCCCATTCTCCAGCCACAAAAGCAGCCGTCAGGGGCATCACTGGAGCGAGTCAGTAGGGGTCACAACCTCTGCCCTCCCCGCCCTTCCCCTGACTTTAGGTCCTCTCCTGCTGTCTCCCATCTGCCTGGAGGTCAAGGGGCCCCTCTTCCCCTCTGTCCAGTGGGTCCCTGTCTCTCCCTGTCTGAGCAAGATGCCAGGGTCCAGAGAGGTGCAGGCGCTGCAGGAGGGGAGCTGGAAACTGGGAGGCCAGGTGCTGAGCTGTCTGGAATTTACTTCTGCCTTCTGAGCCTGCACTGGAGCTGCCCGAGGTGGGGAGGCTTGAGGGGGGTGGAAGGGCTGGTCCCTGCCCCTTAGTGGGGGTTGGTTGTCTTGGCAACATCCCCTTCTCTACACAATGGGAAGCCCCCCTCAGCCTCCCGCGTGGATGGAGCCGACAGCCCCATCGCTGGCTATCAGCCTCAGGGACTTGGCAACCGTCACTATGGCAACTCAGAGCCCAGCAACAGGGCCCACTGAGAAAGGGAGGGGTCCTAGACTGGGGCAGGGCTGTGTGTGTGAGGGGGCAAGGGAGCTGATGGAGAGTCCCCCCCCCACACATGCATCTAGAGGCACAGGTGGAGAGACGAGAGGGAAGAGAAGTGGGGATAAATAGTCTCCGTGACAGACAGACGCCTCACCAGAGCAGCCAAGACATCATACCATGCTGAGAGACAGGAAGACACCTGGGGCCGGATGCACAGCTGGGGCCAGGAACGCACATACCGCGCAGAGCTGTGGGACACGCCCCCTCAGAGCACGGGCATCCGCGGACGCCCCACCGACCCCCTGGCGTTAGCAACACAAGACCACAGCGCTTCACGTGTGGAGCGACTTGGGCGTCTTTCGAGCTATTTGCAAATGCTGGTGACTTCCACACAGAATAACACATGCCATCCGATTTGCTTTCTGCGTACAAATACACAAACGCAACTGTGAGAACAGAGGAGCAGGAAGCCATTCACTCATTCCTTCCTCCACTCACTCTGCATCGTATGAAACGTCTTACTTTGGGCCAAGTACTGTTTTAGACACGGGGAGTATATGGTGAAACAGGCAAAAGCCCCTGCTTTGGTGAATTTTGGTGGGCAACAACATAGTATAATTTCAGGGAGTGAAAAGTGAGATAAACAAAATAGAGTGACAGGATGGAAAGGGTGAGAGTAACGGGATGCTTTAGATTATAGCAGGTCCTTCGGAAAGAGGTGACATTTGATCAGGACCTCAAATAATTTGGAGGAAGCCATCTACTGCCGGGAAGGGCGTGCTAGACAGAGGGAATAAATACCAAGTGCAAAGTGCAGGGATGAAATTGTTGTGTGTTTGGGAATAGCTAGAAAGACATCACAGGAGGCATGGAGGTTAAGGCAGCTGGATCCCATATGCCCACCTATGTGGTTCGAGTCCCGGACTGGGCACCTTGAAAATCATGCTGTGTGTGTGCGTGTGTGCCCAAAATGCCAAGAGGAGAATGGAGGAGAAGGGATTGCAGCATGGTCAGCTCCCCTGGGGGTGATTTCTCACTTTCTCTCTCTCTCGCTCTACAGCAAGCGCATGTGCCCTATAGCATTTAAAAAAAAAAAAAGAAAAAAAAAGAAAGAAAGAAAGAAAGAAAGGAAGAAAGAAAGAAAAAAAAAAAAACCCAGAAAGACAATCACAACCACACTTAGGTTTCAGACGTGTCCTGTCCCTCCCTAGCCTCAGCCAGTAGGGGAACAAGTCACTTAGGGTCTAGAATCCACGTTCAGGAAGTCGATCTAACTTCATCTTCCATTTCCCTCCTTTTGTTTCTTGTGTGTCTGTGAGTTGTGTTTTCCTCACCCAAATTTTGAGCTCTGGGAGGGCAATTATGATGCTCTGAGCTTTTTGGAGCTGGAACACAGCTGCTAGGAGAGTCCTGAGCAGACAGGCAGAACAGAAGGAAAGGAGTAGAGAGAGCTGGGGCCGGGGAGGCTGAGCTGCCCCTGCCCGCCCAGCCACAGGGCCGGGGCTGTCCTGGGGCTCACCTGCAGACTGAAGCTCAGACCTCACCGTCCTTCCCAACCAGCAGTTGAAGGATACCAACTCAGTCGGGTGTGTCTGTGTGTGTGGTTTTCATTGCGGAGTTTAAGGAAAGAGGAATGGGGCAAGGGGCTGTGGTGGGAATTTCTGATGGGGGAATAGTTGACATCTGGAATTTCAGTTAGAATGAAAAATGGAGCTTTCTAAGAGGCTACACGGGCAACCACAGACATGGGGCCATGGGGTGCTCCTTTCCCCTGAAGAGAGTTTTGAGCTCTGTGGGCAGGCCGGGAGAAATGGGGCAGGGTGGCTTGGAGGCAGGGGGCTGCTGGCATGGGCTCTGAGAGTTGTGTGGGGGGAGGAAAAGGCTGCAGAATGAATGGGAATGGCAAGCGGGCAGCAAGGGAAAGTGTTTGAGAGGTAGCAGGGCAGGTGCAGTCCTGAAGGCAGTTCTGAGGGTCCCAGGTTCCAGGCACTCTGATTCTTCCGTTTCCTGGTTCTTCCTCTTCCCCGAGTTGCCATCGGAAACTCAGGCATCAGCTCCCCCCAACTCCATGGCCGTTGGTTGGGGGGACTGCGCAGCCTCGGGGGCGGCAGCTGGTGAGGAGGGAGGAATCTGTGTGCTCAGCAAACAGCAGCCTCAGTGCCCAGTGGCGGCCTCCTCCCTCATCAATCAGCCCCAGCCAAATGTCCTTGCATTCCCACCACCTCAAGGGGACTGGTTCTGGGCCAGGGTCCCCAGGGGACTGAGATGGGGATGGGTGGGGGGGCCGGGGTGGTGCTTGGCTTCTCATCCTTGGCCACTGCTCTCCTCTCTCCTGGAAGCACCCGGTTCTTCATGTCGTGGGATGACTCTCCCCTGGCCCTGACCATGATCAGGAGCTCAGCTACAAATCACCTGTGGGGGGCTGCTGGGGAGGAGGGGGGCAGAAGGATGAGTCAGGGTTGTAGAGGAATCTACTCTGGTTCTCACGGGCCCGGCCTGGGGCACGGTCAGCAGGGAGGCTGCTGGCGCTGAGGAGGGCCTGTCCCCCAGGCTCTCCTCTACATCCCTCAGGGATGCTCTGGACAGCAGACCAAGACCCTGACCCGCCAATGTCCTCTCTTCCCACCTTCTCTTGGCCCCCTGCTCTCATGTCCTGCTTCCAGAGCTCGGACCACAGGTCACCCCGAATCTGCTGCTCCCCTTTGGGGCTGGGGCCTCTAGACCGACCTTAGCCTCTGGCTCGCTTTCCCCCTCCTCAGCCCTTGTTTCCCTCAGGGACCCAGGCGTCCTGCCCACTCCCTTCACCATAACAACCATTCTTTCGGAGTTGCTTAAGACTTTAATATCATTTCATTAAGTCAGCAAGTCCAGAGAAGGTTAGGGGCACAAAGAGACTGG